TTTTTGTGAGATGGAGTCTCGCTCTATCTCAAAATGAGACTAAACATTGTGAGACTGTTCCTTTTCTCTTTTCTGTCCATTGTTGTTCCCTTCATTGTCTTGTACTCACCATCAAGATAAGTGTAAAGTGGTGGTAAGTGTAAAGTGTAAAATCAAATCTTCCTTTGAGCACCTCTGACCTGAATTACTACTACTTGCACAATTGAGGCAGCAGTAAATAAACTGGCTTTTAATTAACAGTCATAAGGTATAGTAGATCTCCTCTAACTATGTTACGTTAAAATAGTAGTTTTAGAGTATTTGTTGCATTGAGGGAGTTGCAGAGAAGTGGCATCAAGAGCCAATGTATTTTTCAAACAGGGTCTTGCTCTGTCGCCCAGGCTGGAGTGCAGTGGTATGATCTCGTCTCAATGCAGCCTTTGCCTCCTGGGTTCAAGCATTTCGCATGCCTCAGCCTCCCAGTTAGCTGGGATTACAGGCGTGCACCACCAGGCCCAGCTAATTTGTTTGTTTTTTTGAGAAGGAGTTTCACTCTGTCACCCAGGCTGGAGTGCCATGGCGCAATCTCGGCTCACTGCAACCTCTGCCTCCCAGGTTCAAGCAATTCTGCTGCCTCAGCCTCCCGAGTAGCTGGGATTACAGGCACCCGCCACCATACCTGGCTAATTTTTCGTATTTTTATTAGAGACAGAGTTTCACCATGTTAGCCAGGCTGGTCTTGGTCTTCTGACCTCGTGATCCGTGCACCTCAGCCTCCCAAAGTGCTGGGATTATAGGCATGAGTCATCACGCCTGGCCCTTTTGTATTTTTAGTAGAGATGGGGTTTTGCTTTTTTGGCCAGGCTGATGTCAAACTCCTGATCTCACGTGATCTGCTCGCCTTGGCCTCCCAAAGTGCTGGGATTATAGGCCTGAGCCACCACGTCCAGCCTGTATAAAATTTGTTTAAGAAATAAATAATGTTGAAAATTTCCCATCTTGAGAGAGGGACATAGGCATCCAGATTCCTGAAGCCTAAAGGATCCCAAGTAAAATCAACCAAAAGAAGAATACCTTGAGACAAATTACAGTTGTCACACTGTATCCATAGGGGATTGATTTCAAGACATCCCATCATGGATGCCAAAGTCTAAGGATGCTCAAGTCCCTTATAAAAGGGCATAGTGTTTGTATGTCACCTACACACGTCCTCCCATATGCTGTAAATCACCTCTGTGTTGCGTATAATACCCAATACAATGTAAATGCTATGTAAATAATGGTTATACTGTATTGGGGTTTTTTATAATCAGTTCTTGTTTGTATTATTTTTATTGTATTTTTAAAATATTTTCTATCCATGGCTGCCCTATGGATGCAGAACATCAATTGTACTAAGTTTTTACTATTTTCAAAGATCTTAACCTTTTAAAAAGTAACATGCACAGGTTCATGTGCTGCAGAGCTTAGGTTGAATTGTGTGTATAGTGTTTATGATGACTCAGCTTCTTCTCCTGCTTCTGGATTCATGCTGCCACAAAAGATGTAGTTCCTCAGTGGATGATTTACGTTTTATGTTCTAAACAGATTTTTTTTTTTTTTTTTTTTTTGAGACGGAGTGTCGCTCTGTCACCCAGGCTGGAGTGCAGTGGCCTGATCTCGGCTCACTACAGACTCCGCCTCCCAGGTTAAAGCGATTCTCCTGCCGCAGCCTCCTGAGTAGCTGGGATTACAGGTGCCCACCACTGCACCTGGCTAACTTTTGTATTTTTTAGTAGAGGTGGGGTTTCATCATCTTGGCCAGGCTGGTCTTGAACTCCTGACCTCATGATCCACCCGTCTCAGCCTCCCAAAATGCTAGGATTACAGGCATGAGCCACTGCGCCCGGCCCTCTAAACAGTAATTAAATACAGGGAGAGAGAAGCATTAGCTGAGTATGTCCTGCTCTGCCTTTGTCAGGACTCATTTCTGCAACTCAAGCCATACCCTCTTGGTTCCAAGTCACATGGGCTTTGTGACATAGTCATGTCAATATTTATAATAAAGGATGATTCTATTGTGTTACACAGCCTGTGTATGGTTGGTTACCAGAACTGCCCAATAAGCTTAAGGCCATTGCCAACTAATCCAGAAGGGCTCAAGCTTCACCTTGGGTAATATAAAGGTACTCAGGCCTGCCTTGTCATAATCAGAACAGATTTCCTAGGAATCCAGATGTGCCACAGATGAAGACTGACAGCAGGGTCATCTTCTAAAGGCAGTAAGCTCTGGCTTTCTACCAGGCCCTTTTCCTGCTCATTTCATTGTGTACTCATAACTGTCCACTGCCTCACATAGATTTCCACCAGAAACTTTAATTGCCTGATACTCTGTATAAGCCAAAATAGAGAAAAGGCAAACTGATTATTGTTTATTGCTGAGGATCTGGAAGCACTTCGCTTTTTTATGTATCAAAGCCCCCACCCTGTTCTCTGGTGGTTTCCTTAAAAGTGCTTTTTTTCTTTTTGGAGACAGCGTTTTGCTTTGTTGCCCAGGCTGGAGTGCAGTAGCATGATCACAGCTCACTGCAGCCTCAACCTCCTAGGCTGACACAATTCTCCAACCTCAACCTCCCAAGTAACTGGGACCACGGGCACAGCCACCATGCCCAGCTAATTTTTAAATATTTTTATGGAGACGCTGGTCTTGAATTCCTGGGCTCAAGCGATCTCCCCATCTTGGCCTTCCAAAGTGCTGGGATTACAGGCATGAGTCACTGCGCCCCACCTGCTAATTTTTTTTTCTTTTTTTGGAGACAGAGTGTTGCTCTGTCTCCATTTTGGCCAGGATGGTCTTGATCTCTTGACCTCGTGATCCACCTGCCTCAGCCTCCCAAAGTGCTAGGATTACAGGCGTGAGCCACCGCGCCCAGACTTACCTGCTAAATTTTTAAATGGGACTTTTTTGGAGTGGGGGGTCCTAAGGTTGTTTATGTCAATAACAAGTGCTATCCTCAACTCTGACTCTGGTTACTTTGCTTGGCCTTGGATTTGAGTAAATGTTAGTCAGTTTCTGAAATTATTTCCCGTGCCATTTGCAAACCACAGACCATGAAGAGAGGGTTTCGTGAATTTCAGTACTCTCAAGAGTATTTCATTTTGGTTCATGATTTCCATCATGTAAGTCTGGAGACCCCTCATTTTATTTCCTTTCTCGATCCCAATTGCTTGGCACTCAGGAGGACCAAGAAAGCTCCTAGACAGAGCTCAGTGGATTGTATTCTATAACTGTTTTTAAAGGCCACCCCACTGCCAACCTCACCAAGTCAGGGATTAAATTATAAATCTATTAACAATGCTTTGGGTTCATTTAGCTTTGTGAATGCATACCCTATTCAGGGTGAAACAGGACATTTCTATTTACATAGTACCCTCACTTAGAGCCTGGCCTCTTCCATAAGACCCAGATCTTTGAGATAGCTGTCAGACCTGCAGGGGCTTTCTGTACTCATTTCTGTTGCTGCTCACCTCTGAGAGCTACAAGAGAACAGCTGGGGATGTGTTGAAGTTTCAAATAATTCTTGATCCCTTACTACCTAAGGTCTTACTGTGGAGCATGCTCATACCCTGTACAACTGGAAAAAAAAAAAAATAAAATCCCAAAGCAAAACACTTGAAAATAGACTTAACTTATATTAATAGTATTATTTTTGCTTAATTTTGTTTTCTTAAAAAGACAAATTGGATCTTTATGTTCGTTTTACTCTACCCCCTAATCTCCCCATACAGCTACATGAAGAAATTGGAAAAATGGAAAATACGTAAAGCTTTTATGACACAGCAGAGAAAGCTGATTTGTAACAACCTAAAGCCAAGGGAGTGCCACCTTTCTCTGGAGCTAGTCCAGCTGCTTTAGAACCAGAGCCTTCATATTGTTTATGGAAATGGAAGAAACAGAACCAGGAGATGGGTGGGGAGCAGGAAAATTATTCTGCCCTGTGCCCCTAACAAAAAAGCGTGAAGTACCTATAATATCAACTCTAGCTTCTAGATCCATTATGAAGTAACTTATATTTGGAGGGGAATACTCATAATTATTATTTTCAATGGAAAAGCACATTTACTGGGAAGGGGCCTGATGGCTAGTGGTGGGCAAAGGTTTGGGGAGATGACCTGCATGACAGGTACTCTGAATAGCAGAGCTTCCAACTCATCACCTCCTGGTGCAGTACCTAGTTAGAGGGAAGTTGGAAGCCTCCCTCTAGCAGTGCGGGAAGGAATGTTCCTGGGTTTGTCATTATCTTGCCAGCTGGGGACACAGAGTATCTTCTGTGTCATTGTCTACTTATCTGTTCACTGGCTTTGATGACCCTCATCACCTGCCCCCTAATATTGTGATAATTCCTTAATCTTTCTGTTCCTAAACTGAAGGTACCAACCTGCAAGGAGCCTCTCTTGCATCCTCAGACTGTCTTCTACAGTCTAGCCAACTTCACCTTTGGAGGAAAGGTGATGAGTATTTAAGAGTCTTCAGAACAGAGTGTTTTGCCTCTATCCTGGAATCCTAGAATGTCAGAGGTGGGAGAGATGGAGCTTGTTTTGTGCAGGCCTCGCTTGATAGTTCAGGGAGCTGAACCCAGAACAGGGTCATGAGTGACTTTGAAATGCGTGGCTATATCAAAGTTGTAGCTTTGACTTAGGGTAGAGAATTGGAACTTAACTTATAAGAAGGAGAACCAAACCATATAACAGGATTTGAAACATAATAGCCAGGTTGACTCCAGGCCTTGTACCTGAGTCAGGGCCTCTAAATGGATTCTAATACCAAGAATCAGGTATCCCTGCTAGGGGAAAGAAAGGAGGGTTCTGGGACAGTAGGGCGTCACTAAACTGACTTCTCATACCAGCACTGCTGTGTTTTCTCCTCCATTTTTAGACTTCGAAAAAGCCCAAGACAGCAGAAGCAGACACCTCCAGTGAACTAGCAAAGAAAAGCAAAGAAGTATTCAGAAAAGAGGTAAGGTTTGGTGGATGTAAGCACTAAGCACCTCAGGCTTAAATCTGAACCCTTTCCTTTCTTGTCCTAAGTATGTCGAATATCTCTCTTGCCCCAAAATAGGCAGGAACACAAGGTGTTCCTTGTGTGTGTGTGCCTTGCTGAAGTGCTGCTTTTCCCACTGAAAACTCCTCAGCCATCTTTTCTTGGCTTGACAGGAGCCAAGTCTCAGACCACATTTGCTTGTTTGACTGTTGGCCTTCTGTAGCATCTATGGCAAAAGAAAGCTGTATGTAGTGGTAGGCTGCCTTGTCTTTGGGTATTCCTCTTGCCTCTGTGATTTGACTTAGTTGTTATGTGAAAGAGGTGTGGCCTTTTTCAACTGGTTAAGCATTGACTCATTTCAACTGGTTACCCATTGACTCATTGTGTTCCCACAACAGCCCTTGAGGTAGGCAAGACAGATTGCCTTTCCTCTTATTCAGGTGAAAGAACTCAAGGTTCAGAGAAGGCAAGTTCTAGACAAAAGATTTGAACTCAGGCCTTCTGGCTCAAAGTCCACTTCTGTTTCTGTAATATCTCATTTGGTAGCTGCCTAATTTTCCAGGGCTTGGGAGAATGCTGCTCCTCTTTATGCTACCAGAAGTGTGTCTTACCAGACTCAAGATGCTAAACTTGTCTGCCTCATAGCATCTAGATTCTAAACTCCAATCTTCATTCATTGAAGGGGCTTGTAGTGTTTTGGAAGAAACAGACCTGTAAATAAGTAACGGCAGCTGTGTGAAAATTTTGCCATATTAGGGCTGGGAGTCACAATCCGGGCTGTCAGGAAGGGCGCTTGAATCAGGGGTAGGAATTGGCCAGATGGATCAGCAGGGGACCTAACTTATGTCAATAGAATGTAGAGAGGCAAGAGAGAGCATCTTCCCTTCCAGGGAGTTGTAAGTGGCCCGATGGGCTATAGCACAAGGTATGGGAGGGCTGTTGAAAATGAGGTGGAATGGTATTGTGCTTCTTCCTATAGGAACCATGTGTCTGTGGGTTATCGGGAACTATTGCAGGATTTTAAGCAGGGGGTAATGAAATCCCTGTCTGTGTTTGAGGGGATAGACTGAAGGAAGAGAGTTTGGAGGCCAGGAAACCCCGGAAAAACCTTGAGTTAAAAGGCTTATCCAGGGATAAAGTTCAGTTTCTTATGATCCCTTTGTGAACATATTGGTATTTCAGCTCATTCAACCAGCAGCTGTTTCTTTAGTGCCTACCCTTGTGATATATAGCCTTGTTCTTTGAACACCTGAAGGCTCACTGAATTTTAGTCATGGGTAGACCTTGTTCAGAGTGCTCTCTTATGAAATAGCTGTGACTGGCCTCTTTATTCTCTTTGTCCTCTGTGATCTTAGCACCACAAATACCTCTGAAGGTCCTATTCCTAGAGTGTTTGGGAGCATCTGGGTAGGACAGACCATACTTAGACAGCCCAGGGAGGACATAGTAAGTGGTGGAATGAAAATGATTCTGCCCAGGTTTTCCTTTGCTGGCTGTCATATCATGCTTGATCTGCTTCACATGCTGTGGTATGACCACTTAAAGAATCTGAGTACCCTTCAATGACAAAATTCCTGTGGTTCCTGGGGTTGGTAAGCCTCACAGAAGCTCTGGAACACCTGCTGTGCCCTGCCTTGCCTCTAGGGCCCAGAGAACCTAGCTACTGTCTTTATGCTGAGGACACAAAATTCATTGGCTGAAACCTGGGGCTGCTGAAGGAGTCGACATTGAAGTCATGCTGTTGAGTCCCTCCAGCCTCCTTTAAGCCTTGCTTAGTCCATCCAGGGGAGCTCTTTCCCTCTCAGGCTGAGCCCATATCCTTTTTTCTGATCTTACTGGCTTACTAGTATTCCACTGTCCAAACCAGCCAACCTGAGGGAGAAAGGATTGGCTGGCTTTACTCACTACCTTTTCTAGTTATTTCCTCAGTACAACTCCTCACCCTCTCTGGACTGTTGAGCAATGTGTTCTTTTTTCTTTGCCTGCAGATGTCCCAGTTCATCGTCCAGTGCCTGAACCCTTACCGGAAACCTGACTGCAAAGTGGGAAGAATTACCACAACTGAAGACTTTAAACATCTGGCTCGCAAGGTACTCCCCTTGCTTTTGGTAGCCCACCAGGCAACGTTCTGGGCAAACTGTGTACTTTCTAAGAAGCCCTTTTCATCATAGAAAGTTTTTTTTTTTTTTCTTGTCAGATGTCAGGGCTGGGGACCCAGGAACGGGGAGGGAAGGTTTGGGGAGGGATGCACACCCTTACATGAGAGCAGTAGTTCTCTAAGAAATTTTCAGAGCTCAGCTTATCCTTTCTGGTGATCCTAGCACCAGTCTGCCCCAACATCTACCCCCTTATTAACTTCCTGTCTTGGTGAGAAGGGCCCTGAAGCAGCAGGCTGGATTACCACCCCTGTCCTCCCCCTCAAATTGTTTCTGCTCTGATTGGTGGCTGTGGTCTCTCTTCCTGTGCCCTGGACAGCTGACTCATGGTGTTATGAATAAGGAGCTGAAGTACTGTAAGAATCCTGAGGACCTGGAGTGCAATGAGAATGTGAAACACAAAACCAAGGAGTACATTAAGAAGTACATGCAAAAGTTTGGGGCTGTTTACAAACCCAAAGAGGACACTGAGTTAGAGTGACTGTTGGGCCAGGGTGGGAGGATGGGTGGTCAGGTAAGACAGACTCTAGGGAGAGGAAATCCTGTGGGCCTTTCTGTCCCACCCCTGTCAGCACTGTGCTACTGATGACACATCACCCTGGGGAATTCAACCCTGAAGATGTCAACCGAAGGCCACAAAAATGAACTCCATCTACAAGTGATTACCCAGTTGTGAGCTGTTGGCATGTGGTTAGAAGCCATCAGAGGTGCAAGGGCTTAGAAAAGACCCTGGCCAGACCTGACTCCACTCTTAAACCTGGGTCTCCTCCTTGGCGGTGCTGTCAGCGCACAGACCCATGCGCATCCCCACCCACAACCCTTTACCCTGATGATCTGTATTATATTTTAATGTATATGTGAATATATTGAAAATAATTTGTTTTTTCCTGGTTTTTGTTTGGTTTTCGTTTTGCTTTTAGCCTCTACATGCTACGATCACAGGAAGACTTTGTAAGGACAGTTTAAGTTCTCCTGCAAGGTTTAATTTGTTATCATGTAAATATTCCAAAGCAGGCTGCCTTGTGGTTTTGGCCAGCCTTGTGCTATGTTGATAAGATTGATTTACTGCTTAAAATCACTTTACTTTATCCAATTTTTACTGAACTTTTTATGTAAAAAAATAAAATCAATTAAAGAAATTGGCATGTGTGTTCCCTAAAAGTTAATCGAGCATATTTGTGTGTAATGATATCACTGGAAAAAGGAGAGATAGTGGCCTTAGATGTGTGAAGTCCAAGGTTAATCCCTGTGATTGTATTTTATTACAGGACTTGTTCATTCTCCACAGGTCCTACTCTGACTTAGGCAGACGTTTGCCAGGTGACTGACACTTGTAGGCTTGGGATCTTATGACTGTGCTCAGGCATTGGGTCAATTTGCACATGCATTCCAGAGCAAAAGAAGCAGCATCTAGGGCATCTTTGGCACTAGGCTTCTTTATTTTGGTTAATCATCAGTCAAGAGAAAGGCAAATTTATCGTCTCCCTTGATACTTTCTCCTGGGTGGAGAGAAGCATTGAATCTTTTCCCCTCATGGACTTGATTTTTCTGAGCCCACTGGAATGCTTTTTTTTGGGGCAGAGACAGGGTCTCGCTCTGTTGCCCAGGCTGGAGTGTAGTGGTGTGATCATAGCTCATTGCATCCCTGAACTCTTGGGCCCAAGCAATCTTCTTGCCTCAGCCTCTGGAGTAGCTAGGACTACTAGCTAATATTTTTAAAAAATTTTTGTAGAGACGCAGGGTCTTGCTGTGTTACCCAAGCTGGTCTTGACTTCCTGGCCTCAAGTAATGCTCCTGCTTTTGAATCCCAAAGTGTTGGACACATGGTTTGAAATGCTCATTTGATGTTTGGGTTCCCTAGCTTCCAACTGTGCTCCCTAACACTGGGGTTGGACACTAGAGGACAGAATAGGACCCCTATAAAAGAGGTATAGTACACAGGTTATGATGATAGTGAACATTTCCAGGAAGATGCAGGGCTTCGTGAGAGACCTCTCTCCTACTTGCTGGATCAGTTATCTAGGCAGTGAGAAAGACAGGGGGCTTCAGGACAGACTGGGGCCCATCTTTGCAAAAAGGTTGGTCCTGCCTGTTTCTCACCAGGGTTATTCTGCCCACTGCAGCAGTGTTCTTGAGGTCAGGTCAGGTTGTGGCCTGCCAAATCTTTGGCAGGGTGAGTAGCAATTAGAGCAGTCATTGCCTGCTAGGCACTGTGCTGAGCACTTAGAGCTCAGGTTGTGGTCACAGTCCTGAGGCACAGGAATTGGCACTATGATGAGGAAAACTAAGGGTCAGAGAGGTTTAGTAACTCTTTTAATATCCTTGTATTAAAGGAAGTGTTAAAAGAGGGGAAAATCCTTATTTTAAACTTAGACATGCTATTGTTTTCTCATGATACTGCAGCCTTCAAAACTGTTTTAAGCCCTTTTTTTTTTTTTTTTTTTGAGACAGAGTCTCGCTCTGCCGCCCAGGCTGGAGTGCAGTGACCGGATCTCAGCTCACTGCAAGCTCCGCCTCCCGGGTTCACGCCATTCTCCTGCCTCAGCCTCCTGAGTAGCTGGGACTACAGGCGCCTGCCACCTCG